CCGGCGGCCCGAGCGGCTGCGGGCCCGGTCCCGGGCGGCACGGCAGGGGGTCCGCTCCCCCGGGGGCTGCAACGGAGCGGGAGGGCGTCAGTGCTGTCCCTGCGCCGAGAGCTGCCTCGACTCAGGGCTGCAGCTGCGCCCCGGGACCAGGGGAGGTGGAGGGAGCCTCGGGGTGCGCCCATGGCCGTGTCGGTGGGTACACACACACACAGAGACACACAGCCACCCCATACGCACACAGACACAGCACCGCTTGCCCTCCCCAGAGACCTTTAAAGGCCGCTCCTGCGCGGAGGAAAGCGTGTGCTTACTGTAACTGTACTGCCATTAATATTACACCAGCTTCTCGACAGAAAAATCTGACAGCACAAATGCAAGGCAGTACTTCCTCGTTAGGGGGAAGGTGCTTCCCTAAAATGAATGTCAAGTGACGAGGGAAAAGCCCCCTTTTGAAGAAGTGGGATCTGGGATGGCGTGGGAGAGCCGGCAGAGGGAAGCTGCCTGTGTGAACCACCCCCGGCTGCGTTAGCACAACGGCCACAGAACAGTGCCACGGGATTGAAAATGTCTGACTATGCTTTGGACAGAGCACAGGATATTAAAAAACCTCACAAAGTGGATTTTGGAGTGCTGTGGCCTCACCTAGGGCAGGGATGGTGTCCCCAGTGGTGGGGTGCAGACCTCCCCTAACTTGTCTCAATACCAACCCTGCCCCTGCTGTGATGCACTGCAAGTCATTGTCACTGCTCCTGAGGGTGAAACAGGGAAATCTCCACAGCCAACAGGGCAAGCGACCTCAACTGCACGAGACTTCCCTCCTCCCAGGTCACGCTGTAATCACAAGACTGAAGAGCAGAAGTAGGAAAGAGTTTCTGGGTGTTTTCTCTCTTTTGCAAGGCCTCGGAGCCCATCCAGGGAAGACGTGAGGTTCTCCTAAATAAGCCTAAGAAAACTGTACTGGTTGTAAATGACTTATCATGAACTGCTTGCAGGATCAGTCATCCACGCTGCCACCCTGTAAGGTTACAGGACTGTGGTTCAAAATCCAAAGGGTGAGAAAATCTCAGAAAATGCTCTTTAAATTCTTCAGCAGTCCAGTTCCCACAGGAAACAAGAGAAGTCTTGTTTCCACCTGCTCAAAACGGCAACTGGGTTGAATACACATCAAATGTATCAGTCACAACTGCTACAAATCTCGCAAAATTTATTTCCTAGGATCTAAACGGACTTCATAAAGATGCTTTACCACAATGATGGAATCATCAAAACACTACCAGGGAGCACAAGTTCTGTGTTGAGGCGGGCACCAGCCTGCCCAAGGGAGCACGCCGCAGCAGCGGGAGCCCCGCGTCCCTGTGTCCTCGGGAGAGCGCCCCGGCAGGGATGGTTCTGCCTCGCCTGGACACCACGCTGAGGGCCTGACGCCTGCACCGACCCTGCGAGCCACGGCCTCTGCCCACCGCCGCCCGCCCGGCCTGCGGGGCACAGGAGCCAGGCGGGCGGATCCCCTTCAGCCCCGGGCCCCCTTCGGCCCAACTCTCGGCCTGCGGGTCCCGCTGGCAAAGGCCTGCGGTGGCAGACGGACGCTGGCGGGTCCCCGGTGCGCGGCAGAGCGCCCGGAGGGGCTGGGCGGGGCGGGCCACGCCCAGCTGTCAGGCCCGTCAGGCTCCGGGCCGAGCCGGGGTGTCGCGGCCGCGCCGTCCCTCCCGGCCGTGACCCGCGCGGTGCGGGCCGTGGCCGCACGAGCCGCCCC